GGAATGAACACTACAAATGTTCCCTCCACTAACATAAGGAATGAACACTACAAATGTTCCCTCCACTAACATAAGGAATGACACTACAAATGTTCCCCTCCCACTAACATAAGGAATGAACACTACAAATGTTTCCTTCATTAACATAAGGAATGAACACTACAAATGTTCCCTCCACTAACATAAGGAATGAACACTACAAATGTTCCCTCCACTAACATAAGGAATGAACACTACAAATGTTCCCTTCATTAACATAAGGAATGAACACTACAATTGTTCCCTCCACTAACATAAGGAATTAACACTAGAAATGTTCCCTCCACTAACATAAGGAATGAACACTACAAATGTTCCCTTCATTAACATAAGGAATGAACACTACAAATGTTCCCTCCACTAACATAAGGAATGAACACTACAAATGTTCCCTCCACTAACATAAGGAATGAACACTACAAATGTTCCCTCCACTAACATAAGGAATGAACACTACAAATGTTCCCTCCACTAACATAAGGAATGAACACTACAAATGTTCCCTCCACTAACATAAGGAATGAACACTACAAATGTTCCCTTCATTAACATAAGGAATGAACACTACAAATGTTCCCTCCACTAACATAAGGAATGAACACTACAAATGTTCCCTTCATTAACATAAGGAATGAACACTACAATTCTTCCCTCCACTAACATAAGGAATTAACACTAGAAATGTTCCCTCCACTAACATAAGGAATGAACACTACAAATGTTCCCTTCATTAACATAAGGAATGAACACTACAAATGTTCCCTCCACTAACATAAGGAATGAACACTACAAATGTTCCCTCCACTAACATAAGGAATGAACACTACAAATGTTCCCTCCACTAACATAAGGAATGAACACTACAAATGTTTCCTTCATTAACATAAGGAATGAACACTACAAATGTTCCCTCCACTAACATAAGGAATGAACACTACAAATGTTCCCTCCACTAACATAAGGAATGAACACTACAAATGTTCCCTCCACTAACATAAGGAATGAACACTACAATTGTTCCCTCCACTAACATAAGGAATTAACACTAGAAATGTTCCCTCCACTAACATAAGGAATGAACACTACAAATGTTCCCTTCATTAACATAAGGAATGAACACTACAAATGTTCCCTCCACTAACATAAGGAATGAACACTACAAATGTTCCCTCCACTAACATAAGGAATGAACACTACAAATGTTCCCTCCACTAACATAAGGAATGAACACTACAAATGTTCCCTCCACTAACATAAGGAATGAACACTACAAATGTTCCCTCCACTAACATAAGGAATGAAACACTACAAATGTTCCCTTCATTAACATAAGGAATGAACACTACAAATGTTCCCTCCACTAACATAAGGAATGAACACTACAAATGTTCCCTCCACTAACATAAGGAATGAACACTACAAATGTTCCCACCACTAACATAAGGAATGAACACTACAAATGTTCCCTTCATTAACATAAGGAATGAACACTACAAATGTTCCCTCCACTAACATAAGGAATGAACACTACAAATGTTCCCTCCACTAACATAAGGAATGAACACTGCAAATGTTCCCTCCACTAACATAAGGAATGAACACTACAAATGTTCCCTCCACTAACATAAGGAATGAACACTGCAAATGTTCCCTCCACTAACATAAGGAATGAACACTACAAATGTTCCCTCCACTAACATAAGGAATGAACACTACAAATGTTCCCTCCACTAACATAAGGAATGAACACTACAAATGTTCTCTTCATTAACATAAGGAATGAACACTACAAATGTTCCCACCACTAACATAAGGAATGAACACTACAAATGTTCCCTCCACTAACATAAGGAATGAACACTACAATTGTTCCCTTCATTAACATAAGGAATGAACACTACAATTGTTCCCTACACTAACATAGGGAATAAACACTACAAATGTTCCCACCACTAACATAAGGAATGAACACTACAAATGTTCCCTTCATTAACATAAGGAATGAACACTACAAATGTTCCCTACACTAACATAAGGAATGAACACTACAAATGTTCCCTACACTAACATAAGGTATGAAAACTACAAATGTTCCCTCCACTAACATAAGGAATGAACACTACAAATGTTCAAAACATAAGGAATGAGCACTACAAATGTTCCCTGAACAAATATGAGGAACATACACTACATATGTTTCTTCTACTAACACGAGGAACCAACACTACAAATGTTCCCTACACTAACATGAGAAAGCTACACTACATATGTTCCTCCACCACTAGAGAGGTATCTTAGGCATCATGCAGTTTACAATCTGACATGTCCATAATGCAAACATTTACTTACTACTTATGCTTAACAAAGTTGATGCAGGAATGGATGCCAGAACAGGCACACACAACAAGCCAAAACACAACATAGTAAAAAAAAATTAAATACATAATGCATTACCAGTAGTCAATAAGTATAAGTAAGTAGTCTTCAACCGACAGCATAAACATAACAAGTTATAACACATTAGGGATCCAATTTAATGTGATAGATCACTTCTTAGCCTTCATCAGCTGATAAATCTGGAGAAATGTTCAGGTTGTTCATCCACTTCTGGAGTCTGACCTTATTCCAAAACTTGAGTTTTGTGTGCACATCCATTTTACAGATTTATTTGTTTGCAGACTGTTAGTCCCTTGCCTCTCAGGCAGATGCACTCTAACTTCAAAGGAAACATCCCTAATTAGTAGACCCTTATGACATGCTTGCTAGATGGCAGTGGGTCTATTACTTTTTCCCCACAATAGGACCCCAGAACCCACACGAAGAATTGAATCTAACAATTCAGAGAGTTTATGTAACAACCAACTGTCACAGAGAAGAAAACAAAGAGTAAACTGTTTTTGGATTACCCACTGAACACATGGTGAATTATACAGTATAGAAACAGTTCTCTGCTGTATAGAAACAGTTCTATACGGTATAGAAACATTTCTTTACGGCATAGAAACAGTTCTTTACGGCATAGAAACAGTTCTATACAGTACAGAAACAGTTCTATACGGTATAGAAACAGTTCTATACGGTATGTATAGAAACAGTTCTATACGGTATAGAAACAGTTCTTTACGGCATAGAAACAGTTTTTTACGGCATAGAAACAGTTCTATACAGTACAGAAACAGTTCTATATGGTATAGAAACAGTTCTATACAGTACAGAAACAGTTCTATATGGTATAGCAACAGTTCTATATAGTATAGAAACAGTTCTATACAGTACAAAAACAGTTCTATACGGTATAGAAACAGTTCTATACGGTATAGAAACAGTTCTTTACGGCATAGAAACAGTTCTATACAGTACAGAAACAGTTCTATGCGGTATAGAAACAGTTCTATACGGTATAGAAACAGTTCTATACAGTACAGAAACAGTTCTATATGGTATAGAAACAGTTCTATATAGTATAGAAACAGTTCTATACAGTACAGAAACAGTTCTATATGGTATAGAAACAGTTCTATATGGTACAGAAACAGTTCTATATGGTATAGAAACAGTTAAGCTATGGAAACTGTAAAATGATCAGAGAAATTTGTGAAAGTCAAGATTTTTTGCGTGGTCTCAAGGCATGGCCTCTGCCTTGAGTGCTAGAGGTCCCAGGTTCAGGCCCCGGAGAAGGCTAGGATTTTTTCATGTGTACTTCTAGTAATTTCCCCTGGTCTCTGGGTAGTGAGATCGGATACCCGTATGTATTGATGCGTACATAAAAAATCCCTTGGCAGTTGGAAATCAAAAAGAGTAGTCTGATGGTGCTGCCAGGAAAAATTTGGAGTTAAAAATCTACCCAAAGTATTTCAGGAACCTTGCCGGTGCTGCTAAGTTCGTCCACTGTACTGAGATTCTTCGGACTCAGACGAGTTAGAAAAAGAACGGAGCACTTACGGCTTACTACCCTTGTGCACTGATGTTGATCCGTTGTGTAAACCTAAACCTTTATCAACAAATATAAACAAAGCAAATGAGCAGCATCAGCGTGGAGATACTGACTGAGCAAAGAGTGTGGATGATTTTTGAAATGCAGGGTAAAAGATGGGTAAGATTTTAATTAGGTTGTGTATGGCATCATCAGTAAGTAAAGTAATAGTAAAAAGTAAAGATCCCTTTTCACGCCTTTGGTGCATCGGGTATATGGGAAGAGCCCCCCATATTTTTACAGACCAATCAGCATTAGTTAGGTAATGTGGTCAGCATTACACCAGCCATTTTTACTTTTCCAGGACAGCCATCCCGGACCCATTTTAGGCCGGGTAGACCTGCGACGCCCCATACCATGATAAAAATCCACTCAGCCGGCAGTGGGTTTTGATCACAGTACATTGGAATTACGAGTCATACTCGCAACGCCTAAGCCACAGGCGCTGCATCATCAGTAAGGGGAGGATTCAATGGAAACTCAGGTAGGTAGGTAGGTAGTTGTACCCCATCAGGACATCACACAAGCGATAAACACCCGGTGACACAAAGTGCCAACAAGTGGATGAGGATCACCCGAGGAGAGGTCCCAGAAACCCCTTTCAGCCGTTAGGCTATGTCTATGCCCCAGCTATTTTCAGGTGCCCCTGGCAGAAGCCAGTTTGGGGCTTCCCAAAAAAAAATTGCATCCACAATGGGACGACTTCATATTTTTATTTTACGTTAAGCTTAAACTGAGGAAGAGGAGACATCACATGAGGAAATGTCTTCACTGCAATGATGTCAGTTCTTGACTGACTCATTCAGTCACAGACAAAGAGCAACATTAGCAATATTAATTAATTAATACAATATGTACCATAGAAAACTTATTCAAGAAAAGAAAAAAAAAACACTACATAAATACCTGCAATGACAACCACTACAACAAAAGTACAACAAACCTTAAATGTGTTATTTCAGAAAGTCAAAGTGTCATCTGCCCTTACCTTCTGTCTGTCTCATCTGTTTCCTCCACACAACAACCATTCATCAACTGATTGGGTGTCCACATGATGATGAGACCCTCGGAGCTCTGATGCAGGGACAGGTATCCTGCAAGAGCCTCCTTGTCCTCCCTCTAGACAAGCAACAAACAAAACAATGTCAGTTTACATATATTGTTTTACTATGGCACAGCAGCTGGTCACCTGTGTGTGAATGCAGCCCTTAGAGGAAGCAACTCTAGGAATAAGACCTACCTCCCTCCCCCCCCCCCCCCCCCCCAACCTAGCAAACAAATTTTTAGGATCTTTTAAGATAAAACTTTCCCTCAAACATAAGGCCCTAGTTAAGATAAAACTTTACCTCAAAAATATGCCCTGGTTAAGATGAAGCTTTCCCTCAAACATAAGGCCCTAGTTAAGATAAAACTTTGCCTCAAACATAAGGCTCTAGTTAAGATAAAACTTTACCTCAAACATAAGGCCCTAGTTAAGATAAAACTTTAGCTCAAAAATATGCCCTGGTTAAGATAAAGCTTTGCCTCAAACATAAGGCCCTAGTTAAGATAAAACTTTACCTCAAAAATATGCCCTAGTTGAGATAAAGCTTTCCCTCAAACATATGGCCCTAGTTAAGATAAAACTTTAGCTCAAAAATATGCCCTAGTTAAGATAAAGCTTTCCCTCAAACATAAGGCCCTAGTTAAGATAAAACTTTACCTCAAAAATATGCCTTAGTTAACCCTTTCGCTGCTATGGACGAGATAACTCGTCTACCCGGTAGACTGCTAAGGACGAGTTAACTCGTCTTCCATTTTCTGTGCCCTCAGTGCTAAGGACGAGATAGCTCATCCTCGACTTTTCTTACAGATTGCTAAGGACAGTAATTCTTGGGGCTGAAATGGAAATATACATTACCTAAATCTGATCAAACTGACCCATTTACAGACAATTAAAACCCTTATCACGTGCGTTTAGCCGTATTTAGATGCATTTCACGCTATCCTGTTGCTTCGTTACCATAGAAGCATGGTCGGTGAATGGTAATTTTTTTGCCCTAAAATATGTTTCTGGTTTTGCGTTAGTCTACTTTTTTTTTTAAATACAAAATAACAAGAAAATTGGTTAATTATAGTTAATTATTGGAGTTTGTTTCAAGGAGTAATAGTAAGGATAACTTTGAAACGTGTGAGTTATATGAGCTGGGCTATCTTCGCACGTCGTCGGACACGTGTACTTCTAGCCGTGAGCAAGACTGACCATATGACCCAGCTATCTACATTGACTGGATTTGAAATGAATCACCAATAATCAAAATGAAGATATGCTCACGTACTGACATGATAATTAATACTAATGTTTCTAATATACTATACAACTGACAAAACTGTGTCTGTCTATCAAAGTGTACAATACTAGTCCTATTTTCAGTATCAATTTACATATACATTTCTAGCGTAGTTGGTATCACGCTTGCCTTGCAATCGAAGGGTACGCGTTCAATTCCTGCACGCCGTATTTTTTTATATTTTTTTATTATTATAATTTCAAATGTAAATTCTAAATTTAAGCTATTAGCTCTTTCGGAAACAGATCACAGAAGTATTAATTAATTCAACATCATGTCACGTGCATTTAGATGTGTTACACGTTACTGTTGCTTTGTGAAGCATGGTTGGTATACTGTTCATTTGTGTGGAAAAACACTCCTGTTGCCCAATTTCACTTAATGTTAGTAAGAGAAAGTCTACAGAAATATTGCAAGGAAAAGAGAACAAATGTAGGAGGACAAAAAAAGTGAAGATCTGCCACTTCGTTTAGTACAAAGGCATTACCCTTCAAAAATAGAGTCCGTAACATCACAGAAGAAATTCCCAACAAGAAAGTGTGTGGTATGCGCAGAAAGCAAAAAACGACGGGAAACCCAGATACATGTTCAAGTACTGTGATTTTGCATTGTGTATCGCACCTTGTTTTGAAATATTTCACACAAAAAGATATTAATAATAATTTTTAAAAAAACATGTATTTGCTTACAAAGTGTTTTGTGTTTGCTTTGTAAGTTTGTAGTATTTCTTTTTGTTAATGAGTTTTTATGGCGTAGCCCAAGCGCGTCCGACTTGTCAGCGCAAAGGTCAACCATGCGCTTCAAAAGAGTTTTTATTTGAGGTGTAAAATTTTTACCCCGCGCTGCAAGAGCGTCTTCTGCTTTTGGAGGCGAGAAAGGTATTCAGCACAGGAGGAAAGATTAGCTCTCGCCTGGCTCAGCACAGTAGTTACGTTGGCCTGCGTTGGGCGCAGCAGCGAAAGGGTTAAGATAAAGCTTTACCTCAAAAATAAGACCCTAGTTAAGATCAAGCTTTACATAAAACATAAGCCCTAGTTAAGATAAAACTTTAAATAAAAAATAAACCCTAGTTAAGATAAAGCTTTACCTAAAAAATAAGCCCTAGTTAAGATAAAGATGTACCTAAAAAAATAAGCCCTAGTTAAGATCATCAGCTAGACTCAGAGATCAGATTGAATGTTTCAGGCATTTATGTTATTGAAACTGAAAAAGCCTGGTGTATACAAGCAGTTATAAGGAAGTGGGTGGGTAGGTTGGTGGGTGGGTGGGTCGATTGAATGTTGCCTCTTGTTTTGTGAGATGGTCATCCAGGTCTTTAGTCTGGCATGGGAGTTGCCAGAAATTCAAGCCAGAATATACCATCTGAAAAGTTATGATGATGTCCCAGAAGATGACATGCTGCATGTAAATAAATGTAAAACTGTGTTCATGAATAACTAGATTTTGTATCTAAAACAAAACAAAAAAGACATCCCCTAAAAACAAGCTCTACTGCAGTGTTTTTTTTTTTTTTTAAATTCATATAAGACCCAGTCTTCTTTTCAGGTTAATAGCACAGGAGTAACACTGCACCCAACCAGGCATGTCATCAAATAATTTACTACTGTACCCTACCAGGCATGTGTAAGAGGCAACTAATGGTAGGGTTGGACTTGCGACTTGCTACCTCCCCCCCATAAAACACTACAAGACTACAGCCACATAGACAAACCAGCTATGATTCTGCTGTACATGGCCTTAGCAGCACACACCAGCAAAGAATCATGTGACATGATGGCAGGTGGCTAAAGGTCTAGCTATACTAGCGATACAAGTCAGAAATGAAAAAGAAACAAAAATTTAAAGGGGAAAAAAGAAGAAGAAAAAGAAGAAGAATAGTGGCCAGTGATTGTGTCAGTGGGTAAATGAGTTTATATTATTGAATCCAGTGATTGTGTCAGTGGGTAAATGAGTTTATATTACTGGATCCAGTGACTGTGTTAGTGGGTAAATGAGTTTATATTACTGGATCCAGTGACTGTGTTAGTGGGTAAATGAGTTTATATTATTGGATCCAGTGATTGTGTCAGTGGGTAAATGAGTTTATATTACTGGATCCAGTGACTGTGTTAGTGGGTAAATGAGTTTATATTACTGGATCCAGTGATTGTGTCAGTGGGTAAATGAGTTTATATTACTGGATCCAGTGATTGTGTCAGTGGGTAAATGAGTTTATATTACTGGATCCAGTGACTGTGTTAGTGGGTAAATGAGTTTATATTACTGGATACAGTGATTGTGTTAGTGGGTAAATGAGTTTATATTACTGGATCCAGTGATTGTGTCAGTGGGTAAATGAGTTTATATTATTGAATCCAGTGATTGTGTCAGTGGGTAAATGAGTTTATATTATTGGATCCAGTGATTGTGTCAGTGGGTAAATGAGTTTATATTATTGAATCCAGTGATTGTGTCAGTGGATAAATGAGTTTATATTACTGGATCCAGTGATTGTGTCAGTGGGTAAATGAGTTTATATTATTGGATCCAGTGATTGTGTCAGTGGGTAAATGAGTTTATATTACTGGATCCAGTGATTGTGTCAGTGGGTAAATGAGTTTATATTATTGGATCCAGTGACTGCGTTAGTGGGTAAATGAGTTTATATTACTGGATCCAGTGATTGCGTCAGTGGGTAAATGAGTTTATATTATTGAATCCAGTGATTGTGTCAGTGGGTAAATGAGTTTATATTATTGAATCCAGTGATTGTGTCAGTGGGTAAATGAGTTTATATTATTGGATCCAGTGATTGTGTCAGTGGGTAAATGAGTTTATATTATTGGATCCAGTGATTGTGTCAGTGGGTTAATGAGTTTAATGAGCTATGTTCAGTGGTTGTGTACCTGTCAGATCTCATAACTGAGCTATGTTCAGTGGTTGTGTACCTGTTGGGGCAAAAAAATACAAATCCTCACCTCCCCAGTTTATGATGATGGCACTAGTGGCTTCAACCCCCCCCCCCCCCCCCCCCCCCCCCCCCCCCCCCGGTCCTACACTGCCCTACAAGTGGTAAACACAGGCATTAAAGCCACTTTTTACATGCCAGCGCATCTAGCAGCCGATGAAACACTAGGTTTTCAATTTTTATACTTTTGAGATACACAGCAGTATGCCAAGACGTATCGTTACTTACCGGCTGAACCAGGACATTGTTTTTCCCATACAAAAGTGTCAGTTTTGAGTTCTGATGTAGAGATTCCACATACTCTCTGGCCGACATGTGGAAACATTTTGGATCCCTGGCTTCTTCTGAGGCATTGCTGGCATCACGACGAACCTGTGTCACAGACACAACACAATTTAGATGTTGTCTTAGAAGGAACACAATCTGTTTCACTCACAACACAAAAAAGATGCCATACCAATAAACTCAAGGAGCATGAGGTGCACATCATGATTGTATGGCATTTGCTAGTGACAGCCAATACTGAGGAACTCAAGGAGAATGAGGTGCACATCAGGACTGTATGGCATTTGCTAGTGACAGCCAATACTGAGGAACTCAAGGAGCATGAGGTGCACATCAGGACTGTATGGCATTTGCTAGTGACAGCCAATACTGAGGAACTCAAGGAGCATGAGGTGCACATCAGGACTGTATGGCATTTGCTAGTGACAGCCAATACTGAGGAACTCAAGGAGCATGAGGTGCACATCAGGACTGTATGGCATTTGCTAGTGACAGCCAATACTGAGGAACTCAAGGAGCATGAGGTGCACATCAGGACTGTATGGCATTTGCTAGTGACAGCCAATACTGAGGAACTCAAGGAGCTTGAGGTGCACATCATGATTGTATGGCATTTGCTAGTGACAGCCAATACTGAGGAACTCAAGGAGAGTAAGGTGCATGCACATCATGATTGTATGGCATTTGCTAGTGACAGCCAATACTGAGGAACTCAGTGGCCAGACTTGAACACCACTTGGCTAAAACAAAACAATGAAACTGAATGTTTGAATCTCTGAATCAGAGACAGCAAACAAAATGAAACCCTCCATATTGCCATTGTATTTCTCCCCCACTGTGAAGAATAGACCCACTGCCTCCATAACAAGCATGTCCTAACAGTCGACTCATTAGGAGTTTCCTTCAAAGTCTGAGTGCATCTGCAGAGAGGCACGGAACCAACAGTTTGCTTATGATTAAGCCAGATCTGTGAAATGGATGTGCATGCAAAGTCAAGTTCTGGAACAAGACTAAAGTGCAGAAGTGGACAAGCAACCAGAACTGTCTGCCAGAGTTTACAGCCAGTCAACACAAACAAGACTAAAGTGCAGAAGTGGACAAGCAACCAGAACTGTCTGCCAGAGTTTACAGCCAGTCAACACAAAGAAGAAGACACTGGATATTTCTAAGATAAACTGGACAAAGAATAACAAAACAGTCACTGAAATAGGAAACATGTGGATGAGAAGCTAGGATATTCAACAGAAATTGAAGCTGAACATTGAGGCTAGAAGTGCTCCAGATATATATTATAGTAGAGATGTACAAGAATGAACAGAATGAGAGACTTGACGACACGCCCTATGTGACATTTAACAGTACTTAGGATGATGATGATGTTTCAAAGAGAAAGAAACCAACCTGCAACCCCTGTCTTTTAGGTGAGCCTGGGGAAGTGAAAGCATGGCTTCCACTGGAGTGAATACGATGTCTCTGGACTAGCTCATCAGCAGGGGGGTCAGTCCAGTAGTGATCTGATGTTTTCATCTTTGTATAATCAAGTGCACATGGCCCAACTGGAATCATTTGAAAATAGGGAATAAACATGAACTAAAACATCAATTGTTTATGTACAGAAGTTTATATTTTAAAAGTTACAAAAGTCACATTGTATTTAACACTAGTGCTAGATTAGGGCTAAACAAGTGGCAGCTCGAGGTTCAAATCTGGTCTACCCTGGCATGTGGCCCGCATATCACTGCAAGTTGTACTGTATTAACGACATTTCTAAGACAGAGCTAAGGCCCACAATGATCCTAACAGTCAACATTCTGGCCCCTGACTCAACTTAGTTGAACAGCCCTGAGCTACATTTTCATTTTTAAAGATTCTGTTTCTGGTGTGGTCAACCTCACAGACCAACCGGCATTCAGTGGCTGGTGTGGTCAACCTCACAGACCAACCGGCATTCACTGGCTGGTGAAGTCAACCTCACCGACCAACCGGCATTCACTAGCTGGTGAGGTCAACCTCACAGACCATCCGGCATTCAGTGGCTGGTGTGGTCAACCTCACAGACCAACCGGCATTCACTGGCTGGTGAGGTCAACCTCACAGACCAACCGGCATTCAGTGGCTGGTGTGGTAAACCTCACAGACCAACCGGCATTCACTGGCTGGTGAGGTCAACCTCATAGACCAATTGGCATTCAGTGGCTGGTGAGGTCAACATCACAGAGGCCAACTTTTCCTCCCTGGACATTTTCAGGTACCTATTTTAGATCTTGATGCAGGAGGAGCCCAGAACTTTAGGATGGCAAGGCAGCATCTAGTCACAACACCACTGCAGATTCCCAGTTCACATGTGTCCATGAAGTATGCCTCTCCTTTAGTCACAACACTACTGCAGATCCCCAGTCACATGTTTCCATGAAGTATGCCTCTCCTCTAGTCACACCACTACTGCAGATTCCCAGTTCACATGTGTCCATGAAGTATGCCTCTCCTCTAGTCACAACACCACTGCAGATTCCCAGTTCACATGTGTCCATGAAGTATGCCTCTCCTTTAGTCACACCACTACTGCAGATCTCCAGTTCACATGTGCCCATGAAGTATGCCTCTCCTCTAGTCACACCACTACTGCAGATTCCCAGTTCATATGTGTCCATGGGGTATGCCTCTCCTCTAGTCACAACACTACTGCAGATCCCCAGTTCACATGTGTCCATGAAGTATGCCTCTCCTCTAGTCACACCACTACTGCAGATCCCCAGTTCACATGTGCCCATGAAGTATGCCTCTCCTCTAGTCACAATACTACTGCAGATCCCCAGTTCCCATGTGCCCATGAAGTATGCCTCTCCTCTAGTCACACCACTACTGCAGATTCCCAGTTCACATGTGTCCATGAAGTATGCCTCTCCTCTAGTCACAACACTACTGCAGATTCCCAGTTCACATGTGTCCATGAAGTATGCCTCTCCTTTAGTCACAACACTACTGCAGATCCCCACTCACATGTTTCCATGAAGTATGCCTCTCCTCTAGTCACACCACTACTGCAGATCTCCAGTTCACATGTGCCCATGAAGTATGCCTCTCCTCTAGTCACACCACTACTGCAGATTCCCAGTTCATATGTGTCCATGAAGTATGCCTCTCCTCTAGTCACAACACTACTGCAGATCCCCAGTCACATGTCTCCATTAAGTATGCCTCTCCTCTAGTCACACCACTACTGCAGATTCCCAGTTCATATGTGTCCATGGGGTATGCCTCTCCTCTAGTCACAACACTACTGCAGATCCCCAGTTCACATGTGTCCATGAATTATGCCTCTCCTCTAGTCACACCACTACTGCAGATCCCCAGTTCACATGTGCCCATGAAGTATGCCTCTCCTCTAGTCACAACACTACTGCAGATCCCCAGTTCACATGTGCCTATGAAGTATGCCTCTCCTCTAGTCACACCACTACTGCAGATTCCCAGTCCACATGTGTCCATGAAGTATGCCTCTCCTCTAGTCACACAACTACTGCAGATCCCCAGTTCACATGTGCCCATGAAGTATGCCTCTCCTCTAGTCACACCACTACTGCAGATTCCCAGTTCACATGTGTCCATGAAGTATGCCTCTCCTCTAGTCACACCACTACTGCAGATCCCCAGTTCACATGTGCCCATGAAGTATGCCTCTCCTCTAGTCACACCACTACTGCAGATCCCCAGTTTGAAGTAGGCCTCTCCTCTAGTCACACCACTACTGCAGATTCCCAGTTCATATGTGTCCATGAAGTTTGCCTCTCCTCTTGCCCCTCCCTCTTAAATCGGATTGCATAACAGTAGTAAGTCATGTAACCAAAAAATATGCCCCTATCTTATAAGGAAATACTGCCATCTTTGATTACTAAAACTGTTTCTAAGGCCTATTATTAAATATAAAATAACACCAGGTGACAATAAAATACTACCTTAGCTGCTCACAGTAAACCAACAATCTTTATGACAAATAAACTCTGGTGTGATCACAAAATGTCACTCCATCTGACCATAAAATGTCACTCCATCTGACCACAAAATGTCACATTATAGACCATCAAATGTTAGCACGTCTGCTCCTCAAATATCACAGTGTCTGACCTGTATTCACCAGTCATTGTGACATGTGAATGCAAGTCTTTCCAACTGCTGGATACTGCTCTGCCTACTAACTGCCGATAGAGACAGTTGACCATTACAGATCTATGATGTACAGCAAATAAGAAAGTATCGGTGAACCAAGAGATAAACATCAGGATAGATAAGGCAGCAAAAACAATGAGCATATTAACTAAATCTGGGGCAATCGTTACAGACTCTTTGAACATGCTTCAGAAAATCGCTACAGGCAGTCTACGTTCTGAATGGATAAAAAGCATTTGGAAGTCGCAGTTAATCTCCAATCTGAATCTTCACACCTAGGCATGCATGAGTAAATTAAATGAAAGAGCTGATCAAATGGCAAGTAATGATCCCATGCAAATGGAAAGAAGCATGGAAATAGCTAATATCATCAATGCTGCGTGGCCTAGGTTGGGGGATAATGGCAAATCTCTGGCGCTAACATGATTGTGTGACCGGGAAGATAAGCTTGGTGAAGCACAACTATGTCGTCTTAGAGGTCAAGACAGGAGATACTACAACCAACTCCTCATGGGAGCAATAAGTCGAGATACCTTGGAGTGGCTGCTCCATCGGAGATCTGAGCATGTATGGGGATGCCCAATGGGCAAAGATGTCAACTGTGATAAAATAATAAAACAAAGGGTCTTGGAGAACAGAAAGATCAGGATTAAAACAAAAACTCTGGTCTATCACGCTTCTGCTCTTAGCACTGCTTTATGGCAATGGAACCTTTGGTAAACTTTTTGGCACCAGGAGAAATGTCTAAATTTCTTTCACATGTGATGCCTAAGAAAAATTCTTGGCATTAAGTGGCAAGAGAAGATCACAAACACTGAGGTATTGGAAAGAGCAGGTATTACAACAGTTTTCTTAATATTAGTCTCCAAAGGCTCAGGTGGCTTGTTCACATCTGGAGAATGGAGGATGGTAGAATCCATAAGGACACCAATTATGGTGAACTACAGATCAGTAGAGTCCGGCCTTAGCTAAGATATAAAGATATGCACAAGCAATATATGAATGAGACAGGTATGGGAGTAGACTTGTGGGAACAAATTGCCATGGATCATGTTGTGTAGAGGGGGAAATCAGGAAAGAAATAGGAATAAAAGAAGAAATGATTGCAGAAAGGTTGAGAGCTGAGCATCTGAGATGAACCTCACTAAATACATGTGATGGTCCTGGAATCCCATGTTATAACTGTGGAAGACTTTTCTCAATGTCTTGCTAGTCCCACTCACAATCACCTGGTGTTGTGATTCTCATGTCTCCACTTTGACAAGTATAATACAGTCATCTGGAAAGACTGAAAGTACCAACAAACTAACTGCTGATAATTTCTGGTGCTATTTTACAAGTCTGTCATGCTGCCTTCTGTCTCCAACTCTTTAATTATTTCCAGATATCAATTCATATAACATGAGTAACTCTTCAACAGTGGAAAGCTGCCACCAAAATTGTCTATATAAAAGACTGTAAAAATGATGATCTAGATCTACAACAACCTACCCAGCAGTGAGGCAAAGATAGGGCCATCGACGGGATCAGCTATCAGGGCATCTTGTTCGTAATATTTACTGAAACAATTCACACACAGATATCTCTAAGTAGAAATCCAAATCAGAAATGCATTGTGACAAATTATGGCCTAGTTAGGCATAGCATTAGCAATAAAAATGTATACAAACAACAGTTTCTCAACGATATTTATATTATCTTTGTTAGATATAGAACAAAACAAGTCTCTCATCATCTAGTGGCTTTTTTATTGGCTTGCGTATCACGATTGTGCCTAGTCCATGCCAAATTAGACAATGGGATTTCACGATCATTGTAGCTATAGCATGTATTTATGTGCATTTTCCTCGGACACCCAGCTCTTCACCTGTCTGCAATCATTTTATCCTTTGTATTTTATTTCTGATTACCCCCCCCCCCCCCCCCCCCCCCCCCCCCCCCCCCCCGCCCCAATGCAACCATGCAACACAGTCGATAGCATCCTGTCTCCTTGAATCTGCCTTAATACCCATATCAGTCATTTCCTGTCTACAAGAAGGTATAGAGGCCAAACTTGACATCTTTTACCCATCCAGAGGATGTTCTTAGAAAAATTCTAGCTACCTCCATCCTCCAAGTATCTGAGCCTATGGAATCCCTGCATTGGGAAAATGGCGGTGATACCTGTTCTTTCAATAATGCAGTGTTTGTTATCTTGTCTTGTTACTTAATGCCAAGTAGGCATTGCGTATGAAAACTATTCAACTGTTTCTCCTGGTATGAATAGGTCAAACAACTTTCATGTCCACAGATAAGTGTGCTGGGCACTGAGTGTTTGATAGACACAGGATTTCATTTTAACTGTGAGCTTTCTGTTCTCCTAAACTCTTTTTTAATGTGCTTATTGCTGTAGCTGCCTCACCTTTTCTGACGTTGATTTCTTGGTCTAGTAATAACTCGTTATTGACTGAGAATCCCAGGTATGTAAATAGTCAACATATAGAGTGAGTGTAAATAGTCAACATATAGAGTGAGTCTAAATAGTCAACATATAGAGTGAGTCTAAATAGTCAACATATAGAGTGAGTGTAAATAGTCAACATATAGAGTGAGTCTAAATAGTCAACATATAGAGTGAGTGTAAATAGTCAACATATAGAGTGAGTGTAAATAGTCAAAATATAGAGTGAGTGTAAATAGATCTCCACCGTCAATGACACTGCAGGTCTATTGTGAATGTTGTTATCTTCCTTTATAACGAGCTAACAAATCATGACTGCTTTTGAGTTCGGATGTTTACTTCCATGTATGTCGGCACTGATATCTGTGCGCAGTCTTGACTTCCATGTATGTCGGCACTGATATCTGTGCGCAGTCTTGACTTCCATGTATGTCGGCACTGATATCTGTGCGCAGTCTTGACTTCCATGTATGTCGGCACTGATATCTGTGCGCAGTCTTGACTTCCATGTATGTCGGCACTGATATCTGTGCGCAGTCTTGACTTCCATGTATGTCGGCACTGATATCTGTGTGCAGTCTTGACTTCCATGTATACTGGCACTGATATGTCTGCGCAGTCTTGACTTCCATGTATACTGGCACTGATATGTCTGCGCAGTCTTGACTTCCATGTATGCTGGCACTGATATGTCTGTGCGCAGTCTTGACTTCCATGTATACTGGCACTGATATGTCTGTGCAGTCTTGACTTCCATGTATACTGGCACTGATATGTCTGCGCAGTCTTGACTTCCATGTATGCTGGCACTGATATGTCTGTGCGCAGTCTTGACTTCCATGTATACTGGCACTGATATGTCTGTGCAGTCTTGACTTCCATGTATGCTGGCACTGATATGTCTGTGCAGTCTTGACTTCCATGTATGCTGGCACTGATATGTCTGTGCAGTCTTGACTTCCATGTATGTCGGCACTGATATGTCTGTGCAGTCTTGACTTCCATGTATGTCGGCACTGATATGTCTGTGCAGTCTTGACTTCCATGTATGTCGGCACTGATATGTCTGTGCAGTCTTGACTTCCATGTATGCTGGCACTGATATGTCTGTGCAGTCTTGACTTCCATGTATGCTGGCACTGATATGTCTGCGCAGTCTTGACTTCCATGTATGCTGGCACTGATATGTCTGCGCAGTCTTGACTTCCATGTATGCTGGCACTGATATGTCTGTGCAGTCTTGACTTCCATGTATGTCGGCACTGATATGTCTGTGCAGTCTTGACTTCCATGTATGCTGGCACTGATATGTCTGTGCAGTCTTGACTTCCATGTATGCTGGCACTGATATGTCTGTGCAGTCTTGACTTCCATGTATGCTGGCACTGATATGTCTGTGCAGTCTTGACTTCCATGTATGTCGGCACTGATATGTCTGTGCAGTCTTGACTTCCACCTGTGATGGCACTGTTATGTCTGTGCAGGTCTGTTTGATAAATATGATCATTGGTCTAGCCTTTGATCCTTGCCAGTATTGTCATTCTTGCCATTTGGTTTCTCAGGTATGTTAACCAGGCTATGTTAACCATACTGTGTTAACTAGACTACGTTAACCATGCTATGTTAACCATGCTATGTTAACCTTGCTATGTTAACCATGCTGTGTTAACCTTGCTATGTTAACCAGGCTGTGTTAACCATGCTATGTTAACCATGCTATGTTAACCTTGCTATGTTAACCATGCTGTGTTAACCTTGCTATGTTAACCAGACTGTGTTAACCATGCTTTGTTAACCTTGCTATGTTAACCATGCTGTGTTAACCTTGCTATGTTAACCAAACTGTGTTAACCATGCTATGTTAACCATGTTGTAGTTAAAGCCTGTAAAAGACAGTAGGTTGTTGTGACCAATGTTTATCCTGCCATACTGACTAGTCTTCTCTGTGTTTGACTATGTATAACCAATCCATGTTCAGGCAACAGACAATCCATGTTCAGGCAACATACAATCCATGTTCAGGCAACAGACAATCCATGTTCAAGCAACATACAATCCATGTTCAGGCAAAAGACAATCCATGTTCAGGCAACAGACAATCCATGTTCAGGCAACAGACAATCCATGTTCAGGCAACATACAATCCATGTTCAGGCAACATACAATCCATGTTCAGGCAACAGACAATCCATGTTCAGGCAACATACAATCCATGTTCAGGCAAAAGACAATCCATGTTCAGGCAACATACAATCCATGTTCAGGCAACATACAATCCATGTTCAGGCAACAGACAATCCATGTTCAGGCAACATACAATCCATGTTCAGGCAAAAGACAATCCATGTTCAGGCAACAGACAATCCATGTTCAGGCAACAGACAATCCATGTTCAGGCAACAGACAATCCATGTTCAGGCAACAGACAATCCATGTTCAGGCAACAGACAATCCATGTTCAGGCAACAGACAAATAGAGGATGGCAAAGGGAGTAAAATGTATATTATTCTTTATGTTACTTTGTGAGGCAACAGACAATTCATGTTGAGGCAACATACAATCCATGTTCAGGCAACAGACAATCCATGTTCAGGCAACATATAATCCATGTTCAGGCAACAGACAATCCATGTTCAGGCAACAGACAATACATGTTTAGGCAACATACAATCCATGTTCAGACAACAGACAATCCATGTTCAGGCAACAGACAATCCATGTTCAGGCAATAGACAATCCATGTTCAGGCAACAGACAATCCATGTTCAGGCAACAAACCAAATAGAGAATGGCAAAGGGACTAAAATGTATATTATTCTATATGTTACTTTATGAGGCAACAGACAATCCATGTACATAAATGAAGAAATGAGATTTTTGTCCGCCCCCCCCCCCCCCCCCCCCCCACACTTTTCAATTGTTGGAGGGATTCATTTATGTCCAGCAGATACCTATCCTGGAAAAAGTGGTGACACTTCTGGAGGTGCAGCAACAAATATTGTAGTGATCATGAAAACACCCTGTCCATCTAGGACAACAGACAACCATTAGTACTGGGTGAACTAATATAACTTTCTAAGCGGCTGAATGAGATAGCTTATATTTGTCTTGTGGCAGTTACATCCAGGATGTGGTTGATCTGGTGCCAAGGATGTCAAACCTTCAGATACTAATCAGCCACAAACTAGCTTCACAAACAGTCCACTCCATAATAACAGCATTTTACTTTGTCTGAGAGGAGGTTTAATGACCCCTAAAATAAAATAAAACATTCAAGAATTAATAGTTACCTGCTATTTTGCACCAGATAGTCCAGAATTTTTGCCAGTTTTTTCTCAAAAATGGCCAAACGCAGCCACAGATACTTTGGACTGGAAGAAGCAGAAGTTGATTTTTTAGTCTGATTTTTGTTGTTATCCAAGGATTTTCTGGCAAATAAAATACAACCTGGTTTAATATACATAATTCATAGCATTATTATTGCCCTATTCTTGACTGATTACAGTGAATGCTGATATATGTTCTTCTTTATTGCTTTATCCTTGTTTTGGCTCTCAATGTCAGGCTAACAAAAGACATCCAGAGCGAGCTCCAAGTATACATTATACAAAGTGGGATTCCCAGCTTCCGGTATTCCATCAGTTGCTCATTTGCAGTTCTGCCAGCATGCTCTGTTTTCATAATGTCAAGGACTTCAAACTTCTCAGTCCATCGGACGGTACAGAGTCCTAGCAATTTCTCCCATGGATGGTAGCCAATCTGCACCCAAGTGCTGCATGCACTGCTAGGGTAGCTCCCAAGATGGCCAAGAAAGTGTTGCTTCATTCCTAAGACAGCAGCAAGTCATCGTCAATTCTTAGATTCTTCTCCAGTAGACAGCTTCGATCTATAAAGATCTGTCAAAAGTGGGGCCTGTTTACATTGTCGTTTGTAAGGGTGTTTTCCCAGTTGTAGAAAAAGGAAGGAATTTCCTCAAAACTGATGAATTTGTGAATCTTTCAATGTGACTTCTTTATGAGTCTAGTATTATTTAATTGAGACTTCACCTCATTCTTATATTGCTGTGACCTTATTATGACTTCAGATTTTGTTGGAAATGTGGCTTCTTCAAGGAAGGTCTTCAATGATAATTTGAGCTGTTTATTTCTGATTTCCACCAGTCTACAACATCAGCACATTTGATTGGCTTGAATGCATGTTGTTTCTCTGGAAATCTGGTATTACTGGGTTTAGAAATGTTGCTGACTACAGCTGATAAGCCAAGTGGATCATACACCACAGAGGGTGGGGCAGTGATTTCAGTCACAGGCCTGAGGCAAAGTTAAGTCCAACATGATGTGTATAAGGAGATACTCCGTACATCACTCGGGCACCAGTCCTTCACTGTTCTGGTTTTACGGAACCTCATGCAAGACTCCTGCTGCACGTCCCTGTCGTGCTCCACGGATAATGTCTCAAATGAACATTAACAGAGTTGGCAGGGGATCTCGGAGTTGGCGGCCCAAAGAGGTGTAGTGTCCTTTCTGGCTCTCATCAGTCCACCCCCAAATACATGGGTGAAAAGTCTATCAAAACTCATTCGGAACATGAATAAAGTCTGCTTGCCAAATGTACCACCAAATGACAACTCTCGGTTAAAAGTCTGGAGCGAATGGAAAACTGTGCTGCTGAGACTCAACCCTTGACCGAGAGATTTACCCGCAGCCAAGACGAGTAACATTTCTTGTGGGCGATTTCTCACAGTAAGATCCTACCTACGTACATCATCTGTCAAACCTCAGCATCGTCGTCACCGCGCTGAAGTACATCACGACAGCAACTTTTCATCTGCTGGCTAAGTAATAATGTCCGACAAAGTAAACGGATGTACACGCAAAACTCAGGTCAAGGTAAAAGCCAAAAGTCCAACTGGACAAACAACCGGGACTTACCGCCGGAATTCACAGCCGGTGAACAAAAAGAAGAAGAAGAAGAATACTCCACAGAGCAGATGAAGACAATAATTATCTTATATCATTAAAGAATGAACAGGCAACAGTGTTATTCTTTCTCTTTGCTTCCTCCATCACTTGCTTGTCTAAAGTTAGGGAGCAGTAGAAAATCAATCATGGCCCAGCTATCACTTAAACATTAGATGTACTAGACTAAAGCAGACACAACCTTGTGCCACAAGATCAATAAAACAAGGACACTCAAGAGACTAGCTTCTCATGTTGCTGGTCCCTTTTCTTTTAACTGCTACAAATTTTGAGCAGACTTACCTTAAGTACCACAGTTATGCCTAACAATCATATAAATTAGACTTCAACCATAAAGAAAGAGCCTAATTCATTGATAAGGTGTCATCTGCTAGATTCCAGATACTTAATTTATATGGACTGTCCATTTTAATTATTGGCGACCTAGTACTTAGGATTTAAATTGGTGGAAGCTGTGACAATCAATGTGAACAATCCTAAGGTGTTAACAAAAGGATTACATAGTAAACATCAGAATTTTATGGATAAACATGTAGGTAATCTTGAACTTATGTTGGCGAGATGTAAGTGTAACAACTTAAATGTGATTTTCATGTTTCAAATGAAAGCATTCATGTTTTGTTCTTCACTATATGCTAATGTAAACTCTGCAGTAATGCACTTGATGATATACAACGATACATGGCAAGCAATACATTGTGCAATGTAGTATTTGCATGAAGAACCTACAGCATAGCACCTGCAAGCAAGTTAAAGTAACAATTCTGAGATCATGGTACCTTTCAGTGGCAACTTTTGGATGTGATTCAGAAAAATTCTTACAATACTATGGATCAAGAAGAAGACAAATCTACATCCTGGAAAACATTAGGGAGAACTGGCTTGTAAACAGCATCTTCTCCCGAAAGCTGATGTATTTTGGACTGATCAAACGCCATGGTAGTCTGAGGAAGGGGTCAACCTCCACTAACGTGGACACAGGATACAGAAGATGGGTTGTCTATGAAAGCACACAGGGCTGGGGAAGGGGTCAAACTCCACTAACGTGGACACAGGATACAGAAGATGGGTTGTCTATGAAAGCACACAGGGCTGGGGAACTGGCTAGAGAAAGAGAGACTTTCAAGTGTGCCGTGAAAGCAGCGACATGATGTAAAGGACATGCTGATTGATGATTAACTGACTGATTGAGTGTTTATGTTCACATTATTTGAATTCATTATGGGGAAAAACTGCTTTGAATATAAATTATAATGTGCAAAGGTGACCAAAGGCATTCACAATCACTACTTTTAGAGGCACCAATTGAATGAAATAGAAAGAGTAGATGAGAAAAGAAACTGCAATTCATAATACTTCTGGGCATGGAGGTAAACACATATTACTGTGCCTATTCAACATGCTGAGATAAAATTTTATAGACAAATGATGAGAATGGAAAATGCAGTATGTAATGACAATACAAACATTGAAGGGAAAGAGAGACAGAGGAAGACCCAGACAGAAGACATTCAACAGTTTGGCATCCTGGCACGGAAGAACATCTGTGTCAGAAATGATTGACAGTTGGTGAGGCAGAAAGCTGGACCAGAATGATCACCCCACTACAGGATATGGAGAATATTAGAACACAGCATATGGAGAATATTAGAACACAGCATATGGAGAATATTAGAACACAGCATATGGAGAATATTAGAACACAGGATATGGAGAATATTAGAACACAGGATATGGAGAATATTAGAACACAGCATATGGAGAATATTAGAACACAGGATATGGAGAATATTAGAACACAGGATATGGAGAATATTAGAACACAGGATATGGAGAATATTAGAACACAGCATATGGAGAATATTAGAACACAGGATATGGAGAATATTAGAACACAGGATATGGAGAATATTAGAACACAGGATAAGGAGAATATTAAAACACAGGATATGGAGAATATTAGAACACAGCATATGGAGAATATTAGAACACAGCATATGGAGAATATTAGAACACAGCATATGGAGAATATTAGAACACAGCATATGGAGAATATTAGAACACAGGATATGGAGAATATTAGAACACAGCATATGGAGAATATTAGAACACAGCATATGGAGAATATTAGAACACAGGATATGGAGAATATTAGAACACAGGATAAGGAGAATATTAGAACACAGGATATGGAGAATATTAGAACACAGGATATGGAGAATATTAGAACACAGGATATGGAGAATATTAGAACACAGCATATGGAGAATATTAGAACACAGGATATGGAGAATATTAGAACACAGGATATGGAGAATATTAGAACACAGGATATGGAGAATATTAGAACACAGCATATGGAGAATATTAGAACACAGCATATGGAGAATATTAGAACACAGGATATGGAGAATATTAGAACACAGGATAAGGAGAATATTAGAACACAGGATATGGAGAATATTAGAACACAGCATATGGAGAATATTAGAACACAGCATATGGAGAATATTAGAACACAGGATATGGAGAATATTAGAACACAGGATATGGAGAATATTAGAACACAGGATATGGAGAATATTAGAACACAGGATATGGAGAATATTAGAACACAGCATATGGAGAATATTAGAACACAGCATATGGAAAATATTAGAACACAGCATATGGAAAATATTAGAACACAGGATATGGAGAATATTAGAACACAGGATATGGAGAATATTAGAACACAGCATATGGAGAATATTAGAACACAGCATATGGAGAATATTAGAACACAGCATATGGAGAATATTAGAACACAGGATATGGAGAATATTAGAACACAGGATATGGAGAATATTAGAACACAGCATATGGAGAATATTAGAACACAGCATAAGGAGAATATTAGAACACAGGATATGGAGAATATTAGAACACAGGATATGGAGAATATTAGAACACAGCATAAACGGAGCCTGACCTTGATCCTGACAGTTCAGTGGAACTGCTTGTTTCCAACTCGGCAGCCAGACGGGAGACTTCCGCCGCTGGCTCAAATGTTTTTGAGACTTTCTGTAACAGTGCCATTGTGGAGCCATACTTGAAGAGACCCAGGGCTCGCTTCTTTAAGCAGTGCAGCAGACAAGCTTCTACAGCAGCTGATTGGAGGATATTGAGCATACTATCAATGTATAGTTATTGCCGTTACTGAAATATGAATCCCTACTCTGAACAAACATTCATAACAAAAATCATATTATATTGAGGTGTTCAGACCACAGACTGGTGACAAATGTTCCAAACATATTCCTTCATCTTAGATCTAACTTTCTGACTGTGCATAATGTTAGTCTTGGACAAACTATATGGTGACGCTTTCCCCCTGATTTCTACTTCCATCTCCTCCTCCTCCTCCTCCTCCTTCTTTTTCTTCTTCTTCTTTTTCTTCTTCTTCTTTTTCTTCTTCTTCTATAGTTCTTATCTAGATCTTAATTTAGCTTTGAGCAGTCAACTCTGCTGACATTTAAAACAAAATAATAACCAATATAAATTGAGAAATTATAATTGTGAAACAAAATCAATAAATAAAGCAGACTATTGATTGACTGTTGTAAATAAACACAAGATTGAAAATTGATTACAAAAAAATTGTTTCTTTACTCAGAAAAGCAATCTTTATTTTTCAGCTTCATGGACCAGTAAATAAGAATAAAAAAATAACTGAGACCCTAGAAACATTAAGTTAGAGGATACAGTTTGTGCTTCACAGGAAAACAAAACAAATACAGATATCCCACATAAGCTGAAGAAAGAAGTAAACAAAAGTCATTTGAAATTGTTCAGCCACATTAACTCTTTCATTATCAAGCTTAAGTTACTTTATCTCAGTTTACTGTCATAAATTGTTACTTTCACTCATTTAATGCCCAGAAATTCACCATGTAATTGTTTGGTTTCAACTGACATAATTTGTTCATCTGAACTCTTGCAGCCTCTCTAGTGGGTACTCCTCTTGTCTCACTGTATTATTATTATTTAAACTTTTCACACCGAATCATTTGTTAAACTAAAAATTACTTAGGACATGGTGAGTTAAAGTAATGCCTGGTTGTTACTGAAAGAGTCCAGTAATAATGTCTAAAGAGCTCAAAATAATAACACCCTGCAACAGGATGTGTTCAAGCAGCAGCTGGATGGGAGTGGGTTAGGATCCCAACTGAATGGGTCACAGGAAGTGTAGAAAAGTGTATTACATCAATTGAATGGGTCACAGGAAGTGTAGAAAAGTGTATCACATCAACTGAATGGGTCACAGGAAGTGTAGAAAAGTGTATCACTTCAGCTGAATGGGTCACAGGAAGTGTAGAAAAGTGTATCACATCAACTGAATGGGTCACAGGAGGTGTAGAAAAGTGTATCACATCAACTGAATGGGTCATGGGAAGTGTAGAAAAGAGTATCACATCAACTGAACGGGTCACAGGAAGTGTAGAAAAGTGTATCACATCAGCTGAATGGGTCACAGGAAGTGTAGAAAAGTGTTTCACATCAACTGAATGGGTCACAGGAAGTGTAGAAAAGTGTATCACATCAGCTGAATGGGTCACAGGAAGTGTAGAAAAGTGTATCACATCAGCTGAATGGGTCACAGGAAGTGTAGAAAAGTGTATCACATCAACTGAACGGGTCACAGGAAGTGTAGAAAAGTGTATCACATCAGCTGAATGGGTCACAGGAAGTGTAGAAAAGTGTATCAAGTGAGCTGAATGGGTCACAGGAAGTGTAGAAAAGTGTATCACATCAGCTGAACAGGTCACAGGAAGTGTAGAAAAGTGTATCACATCAGCTGAACAGGTCATAGGAAGTGTAGAAAAGTGTATCATGTCAGCTGAACGGGTTACAAGAAGTGTAGAAAAGTGTATCATGTCAGCTGAATGGGTCACAGGAAGTGTAGAAAAGTGTATCACATCAACTGAATGGGTCACAGGAAGTGTAGAAAAGTGTATCACATCAGCTGAACAGGTCATAGGAAGTGTAGAAAACTGTATCATATCAGCTGAATGGGTCACAGGAAGTGTAGAAAAGTGTATCACATCAGCTGAAATCAGTAAACACCTGGCACTGAATGAGTTAAAAAAGACATAATGTCTCTGTCAGCGCGTTGCTTGTCTGGTCAAGACTCTGGATGTCTGACCATTATTTTGCTGATCATTCGCTTTCTGCTTCTCACAGGAAGCATTCCTTCTAGCATTGTATTGTCAAACAGTAAATGTTCTTCTTTTTAAATATTGCAGACACAAACAATAGATTGCACAATTGATTGCCTGGCATATTTCGCTGTATTTCATCAGATGTGTTACTACAGGTACGGCAAGATACAACGAGATAAGGCAAACTTCTAATTAGTCACATTTTATGTCATACTTGTTAGGAAACAATGGGCTTATGCCACCCCCATTTCCCCCCCCCCCCCCCCCCCTTTTCCGAATGGAGCCCCAGAAACTAAATGGTGATGAGAATTAAAAGTATCTTATGTTAGACCTTCACTTTGTTCATTGGCACATTTTCATTTTTTCAGAGGACAGTGTTTGATTTTGTGTTAAAGACAGAAGCTGCAATCACAGCTAGTTCAGACCAGGAAGAAAGTACCACCTCTCCCTGGCATAAAGGTTGTACAGACCAGGAAGAAAGTACCACCTCTCCCTGGCATAAAGGTTGTACAGACCAGGAAGAAAGTACCACCTCTCCCTGGCATAAAGGTTGTACAGACCATATGCTGGCCATGCAGCGTGATCCCTCACTTGGCCTGCCTTGTTTACTCCACAGGGAGAGTAATGCCAGTACGTTCAAATAATGAACTAGAGACAACATTGCAGATATAGATTATTTATTTCAAGTGAACGAAAGAAGAAGATGAAATAATCAATCAAATTAGTGCCGATTGAAGCCTTTTCTTGGCCAAAAAGAGCGACTGACCAAACGGTTAAGGATGCAGGGTTTCCAAATGAGAAACATAGGTTTGAATCCTAAGTAAGGTTAGAACTTTTTTTTTAAATCTGTTCAGATTAAAAATAATATCCTGAAGTGCACAGTAGGTGACTAAATTGACTACATTTGCCTAACCTAGAACAGATTTATATAAATCAAGTTTAGCATATTCTGCTGCTCAGTTATGAAACCATCTCCCACTTGATCTGAAAAATACAGAGTTCCTATTCACTTAATCACAAACTTCTTCAGTTCATGTTTACAAGTGATTATCTGCCACCTTAAATATAGTTAAAAATAGATACTGCATTATCAATTTATTTTTTTAAAAGGTGTGTATGATAGGTATGTATGCGTGTATGTGTGATATGCATGTATGTGTGTATATGTGATATGCATGTATGAGTTTATATGTGATATGCATGTATGTGTGATATGTATGTATCTGTAGGCGTGTTTGTGCACCTATGATTCTAAGTATGTATGAGTGTGTATGGGTAATTGTATAAGTTTGTATGTGTCTGCGTGTGTGTGTCTGTTTTCGTGTGTTTCTATACGTGCGTCTGTGTGTGTGTGTCTATGTCGCTGTGTGTGTATGTCGCTGTTGTGTATGTGTGTGTGTCTGTATGTGTGTCTCTGTGTGTTTGACTGTATGTGTGTCTGCATGTTTATCTTTGTGTATTTGTCTGAGTGTGTGTCTGTGTGTGTGCGTCTGTCTGTGTCTGTGTGTGTACGCATGTGTGTCTCATGTATCTGTGTTTTTATGTCTGTGTGTGCATGTGTATGTGTGGGTGTCTATGTGTGTGTCTCTATGTATATGTCTGTCTGTGTCTGTGCTTATGTGTCTGTGTCTGTGTGTGTGTCTGCATGTATGTATGTATCTAGGTGTGTGTCTGCGTATGTGTCTGTGTGTTCATGTCAGCATGTGTGTTCATGTCAGCGTGTGTGTCTGTGTGTGAGCATGCATGTCTATGTGTGCCTATGTGTATGAGCTGGTGTGTGTTTGTGTATGTATCCATATGTGTGTGTGTGTGTGCTGTTTGTATGTCTCTGTGCATTTGTGTGTGTGTCTTTCGTGTGAATGTGTGTGTCTGTGAATGCAGTGTTTGTATGTCTATGTGTGTATGTGTATATATGTGTGTGTCTGCGTGTGTGTCTGCATGTGGTCTGTGTGCATGTGTCTGTGTGAGTGTGTGTCTTTGTGTGTTCCTGTATGTATATGTCTCTGTGTTTATCTGTATGTGTGTCTGCATGTGTGGGGAAAATGTGTGTGTATATGTCTGTGTGTGTCTATGTATATGTGTGTGCATGTGTGTGTCTGTATATGTCTGTATGGGGATGTGTATGTGTGTCTGTGTATGTGTGTCTGTGTGTGTGTGTTTGTGTCTAAGTGTGTGTGTGTGTCTGTCATCTTGTCTGTCTGTATGTGTGTATATGTGTGTGCACATGTGTATTATGTGTGTAGATATGTGTGTGTGAATGTAAGCGAGTGGGTGGGCGTGTATATTTGGCTGTATGTATGTGCATGTATTTTACAACAGTTTGGTGTTTTTTCCTGACATTCATAAAGTAGTAATGTAAAGTAAAGGTCCCTTTTCCCCGCCTTGAAGCATATAGGGCATACAGAGCTAGACCTGTATTTTATAGACCAATAGACACAAGATGAGTGATGTTGTGAGCATCACGCAGGCCGCCTTTACTTCCACGGACTGCACCCCGTACCAACTCAAGGCTGGTTAGACCTGGTTGTCAAGGTCATTTTTGAAAAAAAAAAAATCTAGCTCCGCCAGGGAGCGAACCCACTACCTTCCGATGCGCACGCGAGCGTCTAGCTGCTATGCCACGGCGACTCCCGATATTATTATATGAACATAATATGCCTCACTTTATAAACTACAACTGCTGAGCGAAAGATAAGAGTTTGAAAGGGCCGAATGTAAGACGAGCCTGCGTTCCCAATTTGTGAACCTTTGAAAATAAAGTCCGTTGGTTGAATCGTTTGTGACAGCCCTAGCAGTGCCGAATAGCCACCCTGTCTACACCGGGAAAATAGTCAATACAGACAGTAATGGCGCCGGTGTGGGTGCTCTGACTGATTGTTGGGATTGTGTTAGGTTAGTTTGAAGTTAACAACCCTGACAGCCATTGGACTTTTACAAAGTCTAAATAA